ATTTCCCTCAGACGCTATTATGCCGCTTGAGGATGAAGGCGTCGGTAGGCTTAAGGCTGTATACGAGGCCTGGCTTCCCAAGGGAGGGTCGGTGGCTAAAGACAAAGTTAGCGGCATATACACCCTGTCGTTTGCAAACACCAGTAAATACGAGGGGACTATCAGCTGCTGCAGCTCGTCTACCGCACGCTCAATAGACAAACACTATATTCAGTGTCTCTATGCTGGCACTGGTGTTCGTCGTGGCGGCAGTGTCGTTGGCGAGGCGCCGTCCACTGGGATTGAAATATGGATCAAGGGCAGTCTACCCATCACTGGGCCCTGGGTCCAGACCATGTATGTCCCACCAGAACTCCGCCTCAACAAACTCTGTCAGATTGCCGCCCCAAACCCCGACTTCAAATCATATGTCAACACCAAGGACGCTCTTGTGATGATGCCTAACATTACCGCCTGTCGCAATGGCCCTGTATTTGAGATCGACAGCGATGTTTACATCTATATATGTCGACTTTCTCCATGTGCTAGCATATGCTACACAGTTTCGTCAGCAGCCAGCATCACACGTGAGCCGCCCATGTTTGAATTTCCAAAGATTCGCCGTGCCGCAACGATTCCCACCACTGCGCTCATTCCAGAACACAAATCGCACAGACATAGGCGACGGCATTCTCCGAAGCCATGCAAATCTCGCAGCATATTTATCCACGTGTGCAGCGACTTTACCAAAAACGGAATTACTCGCAATGGCGGCGCACGTCTTTTGCTTCCTGGATCTGTTCATGTCTGCAATGGGGATGCCATCCATCTCAAGAGCGTCACACCAGCCGTCGATATTAATATTAAGAACATAGGCTACGATCGCGCTCAGTTTCTACTGATTGACATGCCTGGTTACCAGGACAACGACGACGCTCGAAGCTTATAGATTGTTTTATCCCTTTTACGAAGGGCTCTTGTTACATGTGCTGTTTTTTTTTTAAAAAAAGAAAAATCGTTAAAAAACTATTAGCATATCAGAAGGATGGTATTTGCTTCAGTTGAGGTGTTTTTAGGCAGCAAGTGTCGTTGCATTTTACTTTGTGGGAAACAAGGTTTGCGTCAATAGACAGAAGAAGATAGCCAAGAAACACAGCAAGTTATTAGTGGCTTTGAATAGACACATTGATTGTTTATGAATCGCTAGTAATTAAATAGAAATTACATCTAAACTATAGTACGTATCTAGATTTCTTTAAAGAGAAGTATATAGCGAGTGTTCTTATTGCATGATATTCAGTTTGTGTTTCCCATGTATTTTATATTTGATAGATGTGGATACAAGGACTCAATCTCAGTTGTAAATCTTGTAATCAACTCTGGGGGTGCTTTCATATTGCAGAACTCTTCAAGAGATGGAATCCTTGCCAGGAGGTGTAGGATGAAAGCAATATTCTTGTGTAGTGGGCTCTCATTTAAGCGGTAAGATAAGACTATTGTTTTAATGCAAGTATCGAACGGCTGTAAGCGCTTTTCCTCATGCTCCGCGTAGCTCTGAATAGAAAATGTACTTGGGAGGTCTCTTGTTACAAGCCTAAATAATTTCAGATCAACAAGATGCGGCATCCCTCTGATAATCTCAAGCATTGTGTTTGCACTTGTCGGTCTAGAGAGCACCAGTTTGGTAATATTTGTACACACAAGTTCTTTTGAAATATCAAATTCAACACCTCCAGTGGCAAGAATTTCAAGTGCTGTACGTTCTTGTCCTTTCCAAGCGAGATTGTTGATAGCATCAAACATGCCATTGCTATTTCCATCCACACTTATTATCGTTAGTAATAATCTAGCCACTGTTGGCAGCATCTTTTTGTTTAGCAAGCCATAGTCTTCTAGTTTTCCCGTAAGTCTTAATTTACTTATACGCTTCGGAAACACTGCACGGTTTATCAAGGAATAAAACCCGTCGATATTCTGGACAGATAGACAGCTGAGTTTAGGGAAAATCATGCTTGTTGTTTTTGATTGTGTATGTCCTTCATCTTCTAATGCAGATTGACGATGTCCAATGAAGGATATATGTAAAGAATGCAGATTTAAAAACTCGACACGACGAATTTTATCATTTTCGTTTATAGCTGGCCACATACTGTTAATGGGTAAATTGTCTATAGAAAGATACTGAAGTGATTCTGCGCACACGATGGGGATTTGATGACTCAGTCTACTGTCCATCTTTATTTTAAGGTAAGCGAGCCCGGAGAAGTAGCAGGTCCTAGAAATAAGCAGCGGACGATTGCATACCAGCCTTGTTGCTTGTCCGGAATATGCCTCTGCCAACTTTTCAAAAATAATTTTGGTATCACAATTTTCTGCAGCCTGGCTAAGATTCAGCTTAACAATTCTTGGCATAAGCTTGAAAAGCGCATCCACTACATTGCCTGCTTTTAAATTCAGCGCTTTAATGTTGCTGGGGTCTTCTAAATCTTGCCTATAGCTACATTTTATCCAAGCGTGGATAGATTTAATATGCTTCCAATTACAAGCATACTTTTCCATTTTCGCAATAATACTTTTTAGTCCATTGGTTGGATTTTTGTCGTTTATATCGATGCTAAAGCGCTTAGAAAAGTTGGCATATCCCGATTCTGCGACTAGATTTAAGTTTGTTTTTAAGGAATGACTTATGAGCGTATTCTCGTGTTTGCCATCACTTTTGGTTTTCTGTGTGTTTGTTTCATGGTAGACACTATATAAGCGGCGGTATATAATGGGAAGAAGTGCAACTCTCCAGGCATTATTTATCGACAACAGCATGAGAGAATCTTTCCAACCCTCAAGGGTGTCTTCATTCATAGCGACAACATAATCAGAAATCAGAACAATGATATCTTCGGATATGTTGCTAATAGACATAGTAGCTATCTTGTGAGTATGCTAAACGCTATACTTGATAATATTCTTAAAAATGTACTAGAATGCTAAACAGCGCTGAGGAGAGATTCTCAGAACAGCAAAAATATCAAGAAGCTTAAGAATGGATCTGGAGGGAAGACTGTGCATTAAAAAGAATAAAAACCAATTGTAGCTTCCACACAAAGTGAGACTGTGCTAGCCCTACACCTCTTTTAGCTAGACTTTCTTTGGTGTAGCATGTTAAAAGCTTACGCAAATCTTATAAAGACTGGCTTTTTAAAGACTGGCAATTTTGCTGTCAGCGATACGGCATAAAGATTTTGAGCTTGGCTGGCATTAGTAGATCCCTCAATTTTTTTTATAAATACAGTCAGCATTTTCTTGTTTAAAGAGGGGAAAACAAGTTAGCAATTATAAAAGATTGTAAAGTTGTAGTCTACCGATTTTGTATGAGCTTTTTTGATCTGTCATTTTTTTTGACAAAAATAAGACCGATAAATGCCTCTATTATCGACCATCTTGCTCAATGTCCTTCATCTCATCTTTTTTTTTAGATTTTGAATTTTTCTTACTTTTGCATATTCTATGTTAATCGCAATTTCAACACGCGTCAAAAGGGGATTTATTAAATGGATAGACATCTTCAACATGCTCCGGCTATGTGGTATTTAAAGAAAATAAGCAACATTAACAGTTTTAATTATTCTACGTCTAGGCTTACCATTTTTATGCATTTAAGACTAAATACTAGCTTTTGTATAAATACCTGCTATCAGAAATTAAAGAACTCAGACCCTAATAGCCATGCAATTGTCTCTATTGCCTATCAAAAAATTAAAATGTGTTTTTCTTGTAGCCTTATGGATAAACTACTGTAATACGTACTGTGCTAGACAACTAGCTAAGTAAACCCCCTAGTAAATTTTATTAAATAAATGTTAAGCTCGGAATCTGCAAGATAAATTTTCTATAACCTGATGCAAATACAGCACGCTTTTTTAAAGTATATAGAATGCTATAATTGAAAAGGAGTTAAGGTTTCTTTATTGAATATATCACAGAGACCACATTTATATGGTCTCTAATATGATATGTGTTGCCCTAATGCCACATATCATTTATCAAATGCTAAGATAAAAAAGTCTTGCTAATTAGATGCGCGTGGCATAGAATGTGCTTCAATATTGTTGTATTCAATAAACAAAATACAAAAATCTTAGCAGCTTATGCATTGAGTTCAAGTTTACAATGCTATGTCAGCAAATAATTGCATGCTTTGCACATTCTAGCCAAAGAATTATGATATATATGTCTAGCAAATATAGTAAGCCAGAGCTTAACCTTGAAAACAAAAACCAAATAAAGCAACTGTTTGCAGATATGTGAGAAATAGAGGTATCTATATCACCATTATCTATGCACTCTGCAGTATATGTTTGCATATATAGCCACCAAGTACAATTATAGAAGCTACAGTGACCCAAAGCAGTCTTCAACCTAATACATAATATTATAATGATAGAAGAATTTTCCCACATGCTTATTTACCAAGTTGTGCAAAAGAAAAGATACTAAACCATTGTTAAATCAAGCCAACTCCAATTAAAACAAATATGTTTACTCAAAAGAACACTGTTTTTTTTAAAGAAAAATTACCTGCATGTACTTGAAGCATAATACAAAAAATAAGCAGATAAGCTAGCCTCTGAAACTGCACCAATACATATCTGACAAAGGCAGGTTCCACAGCCCAAAAATTTTTGACATGTTATTTTATATTCAAAAGTATTCTGGCTCACTAGAAACACAAATTTTCATATCTATCTAATTCCGAGATTCTCTGAAACCAAAGTTTGTACACTATAAACCTAGTTGAGCCCACCTGCACCATTAAATAATACTAGAAAAAATAAAGACAAAAAACTTGATAATGTAACCACAGTAACAATATTGATAATAGGGTTGACACAATGTCTACTAGTTAGAGCAAATGGTTGGTTCGCAATTTTAGTACTTATAAAAGTTAGCGTATTTACTAGGAATATAATAAATTTGCTGTTTATCGAATAGCAGGATTAGCTTTGCTTATCACTGTTCAAACCAAGGCCTTCTTAGCTCAGTGGCAGAGCGTCAGTCTTGTAAACTGAAGGTCGCCGGTTCAATCCCGGTAGGAGGCATTTTTGATTTTTTTTTGCTGCAGCGTTTAGCAAAATTCTTTTATGTTAAAAATGCGTGCCTACAACAAAACAGGTTTTTTTTTTTTTTTTGCAGCTATTGGCAAGTTCGCGGTTGGCCATTGAACTCCGCGTGTTCTTTTAGATTGGACTCGGGAGAGCAGTGTGAAGTTGGACCATTGCCGATCCCAAATAGGCAGAAAGTGCGTTAGACAAGACCGTCTCTCTACTAAAGCCAATCTTGCCACTAGGGAAAAATAAGTTGCGTTTCATAAATACCTATTGACGGGCATTTGCTAGAAGTTTTGCTGTTGTTTGACGCATCCGCACTCCCCTTTCTTCTATTTCACGCAATCTCTTACAATACTTTCCTGTCTTTCCGCCCACCTATCCTTTATGAAGCTCACGGTCTCAACTGTTCTTATCTGCGCTGGGTTAGCAATAAGACCTGCATATGCGCAGAATATCAATGCCATAGATGAGGCCCCTGTATCTGGCGGTGGGTCTCTTGGGAATAATAATATTGGTGACGCCATTGTGATCACAAATACTAATCTCGCTGCTGCAGAGCCCACGACTGCAGCTGTAGCCGAGACAGCTGCGCCTGCCTTCTCACAGGAAACTAACCAAAATGCAGATAACAGCTCCATAAATGTTGTGAATAACGCCCCCGATGTTAGCATACCAGCAGCACCCAGCGCATCAGTCGATAACCCTGTGGATGTGGTTGTCAGCAAGCCAGCTACAGAAAACGAACAACCAACTGTTGCTTCGGAGAATACTCTTGTTGCAAATGAGCCAATCTCCTCTCCAGTGGCAGAGCAAACACCTACAAATGATGTAGCAGACGCTCCTGTAGTTTCAAGTAATGAACCAAATGAACAAGGTACTCATTCTATTGGAGAAGAATCTGGAGAAACCTTTGAGGATACCCATTCTACAAAGCATAGCTTGGGTAATGACGATGAGGAAGGTAGCCTAGACTCAGATGACAAAAGCAAAGAGTCAGGCGAAAGCAGCCAGGAGTCGGATAAAGACAGTCAGGAGTCGGAGAATGAAAGCCAGTCAGATGACAACAGCGATGAGCTCGATGACTCGACGGATCTAGAGGACGGGGAAGAAACTGATGATGACAATACTGGCAGTGGAATGCGTGCTTACGCCATTCCATATGGTGGCATTTCCACTCTTGTATCAGCCGTCATCATAAGCACACTTTTCTAAACCCCAAACGAGGCCTCAGGTTTAAATAGATGACATGTCAACATTATTTTTTTCTAGCCATATGCTAGTATTTTTTTAATGTGATAAAAATATCAATTTAATGGGGAGTTCTAATCTGTTTATCAAATGAACAGCAGACGCCAGTAATAAACCTTATTAGTCTACAAACTGATCAATATCGCTAACTTGCTTGCGCGAAGATCTCTTGCGACTTTGTGGGTCAAGAATGCGCTTACGGAGGCGCACCTGTGTGGGCGTGACTTCGATGGCTTCGTCTGGGTTAACGTAGGCAATAGCTTCCTCGAGAGCCCATGGCTTGACTGGGGTTAGGCGGATTGCCTCGTCCTTGCCAGCAGCACGGATGTTTGTAAGCTGCTTGGCTTTTGTTGGATTTACTTCCAGGTCGCTACCGTCTTTACTTAGCTCGCCCACAATCATTCCTGGGTAGACATCGTCACCATTTCGAATGAAAAGAGTTCCTCGGGATTCAACCATGTTGAGCGCATACGAGGTTGCAGTCCCAGACGACAGACAGATCATACTGGACTTGCGAGTCTTCTCAAACGCGCCTGCATGCTCACCGTAGCGCAGAAAAGCATGATTCATGACACCAGTTCCGTGGGTGTCATTCTTAAACTCAGATGCATATCCAAGTAGGCCGCGGGTGGGAATGTGGAAAATCAGACGTGCCTTATCGGCAACATCGATAAATGACTTGAGCTCGCCCTTGCGTTTGGTAAGCTTCTCGATGACAATGCCAGATGATTTGTGATCAACATCAATAGTGATCTCCTCGTAGGGCTCCAAGACAGCATTCTTGTTATTAGGGACTCGCTTAAATAGAACCCGCGGCGGAGTGACAGAAAGCTCAAAACCTTCGCGACGCATTGTCTCAATTAGCACCGAGAGCTGGAGCTCGCCGCGACCGCGCACCTCCATGGACTCGGACTTGCCATCGTCGACAACTTGCAGCGCGACATTGGTCTCGGCCTCGCGGCGCAGACGATCGCGTATCATGTTTGAAGTTAGCAATTTGCCCTCCCGCCCAGCAAGTGGCGAATCATTGACTGAGAAGGTCACCGAAATTGTTGGCGGATCGACAGGAACGTAATCCAAAGCCTCCGTAACCTCTGGCCCAGCAATAGTAGCGTTTACACCGACCGTAGGCACCCCGCTAAGGGATACCAGATCGCCAGCACCGGCCTGCTCCATCTCAATCTGCTGCACGCCGCTGCGAAGAAACAGCTTGGTAACTTTTCCCTCTTCCTGCACAGCGCCAGTACCAGGTTCTAGGACACGGATCTTGTCGCCGACGCGCACAATTCCGCTGTTGATGCGGCCAAGCGCGCACTTTCCCAGGTAAGAGTTGGCTTCAAGCTGCGTCACCAGCATAGAGAAAGGCGCATTTTCTCGCTCACCCTTTGGAGGGGGAACGCTGCGAATAATTGCGTCAAGTAGAGGAACCATATTACCAGCACCCTTGTTTACACCCGCTGAAGTCTCAGCAAGAGTGCCAGCCTCGGCCAGATCGCTTGTGCACCAACCCTCCTTGGCTGATGCGTACAAAAGATCGTAGCTGGTTTGCTCATCTGAGGCGCCTAGCGCCAGGAAAAGCTCCAGAAGCTCAGAGTCAACCTCATCAGGGCGGCTCGATGGACGGTCAACCTTATTAAGCACGACCAGCGGATGGATGCCGCGAGCTAGCGCCTTGGTCAGCACAAACTTTGTCTGCGCCATCGGGCCCTCTGAAGCATCTACAACCAACACGACACTATCTACCATTGACAGGATGCGCTCGACCTCTCCGCCAAAATCTGCATGTCCGGGCGTGTCAACAATGTTGATACGGTGGTTCTGGTACATAAGCGACGTAACCTTGGACAAAATCGTGATGCCGCGCTCTTTCTCTATTGCGTTTGAGTCCATAACACGCGTTTCCTGCATGGCCGACGACCCTAGCAACGCCCCCGACTGTTTGAGAAGACAGTCGACCAGCGTGGTTTTACCATGGTCAACATGTGCAATAATCCCGACATTACGGATCCGCTCGCGAGGGATAAGGTCGCCAAGATCGGCTGCTGAAGCACTACTGCCGCCCGATTCCCGTGCAGCCTCTGATGCAGGCGCTGCGCTACGCACAAGCGATAAAGTGTGTATACAAGCCATTGACGCGCGTACATGACCAGATGTGTGCTGGACCATGGGTTGGGCGCGTTTTGCCCTTGTAAGATAGAGGGCGTTCAAAGTGCCCTGAAGTCTGTAGCCATTGGCTCTTGTCGGACAGACCAGCCTGAGACCAGCACCTCGTAGAATCGACTGCATGTTTGGCGCGTGCAGACAAGCTGCGCTAGATATTGTTAGTTATGATGAAGTTGACGAAAGAATGTAAAGTAGCAAAGGCAAAGAAAGGCTCCTCGTTATCGCCGGCAAGTCATCCCAACAAGCTTAGCGTAATTTTTGATCTTGATCTGGATGGCTGATCACTAAAAATTTTAGAGGTTCAAAGGTCCCACCAGCAGACAACTGCTTCTTGCTCAGTCGTCTCTCTGTCCCCTCTGTCTATTGCAGCCCTGTATTGTAAGCCTACTTTTTACGCATAACTGGTCAAAATGACTGCAGAAGTTGTGCCTACTAGCCTACCAAGGTGCAGTCCAAATATCCTGGTGACTGGCACTCCTGGGACTGGCAAGACTACAACGGCGGAGATGATTGCGCTGGCTACAGGACTGGAGATGGTGACAGTGGGCGATCTTATCAAGGAGCGTGGTCTTCATGACGGGTACAACGACGAGTTTGACACATATTGGCTTAACGAGGACAAGGTGGTTGACGAGATGGAGAGCATGATGGCAGATGGTGGCATGTGCATTGACTTCCACACCTGCGGACTCTTTCCCGAGCGATGGTTCGATCTTGTAATTGTCCTGCGTGCTGGGACGGACAAGATCTACGACCGGCTTGAGGGCCGTGGGTATAAGTCAAACAAAATCCAGGAGAATGTAGAGTGCGAGATCATGCAGGTGGTGTTGGACGAGGCGCACGAGTCCTACAAACCTAAGGTGATAATGGAGTTGGAAAGCAACACTGTCGACGACATGGAGGCGAATGTAGAAAAGGTGGCAGCCTTTGTAAAACAGTTCAAGAAAGCGCATGGAGAATAAAGTAATAAAATGTGTGCTAGATGGGTATCTCATTCCTGCACTACCAACTGTTATTGCCGCCAATCACTGCCATCACCATTGTGGTCTGTGCTGACTCACTGACTTACTGGCCGACTCATTGACTGACTTGGGAAGGTCATATTTTTACTTCTAGCTCGGTGTTTACGAAATCCCGGAACTAGGGACAGAGGGCGCGTGACCATTATCACTACATTTGGTGTGAACTGATGCATTCTTATCGCGCGGAGAAGGGGAGTAGTGCCGGACCTTGCTAGCGATTGACCATAGCGCTTAGTGAGCGAACGGGCAGGGGCGGAGGCAAATGGTATAAAGTACGCGCGGCACTGTACGCAACACTGGGGTGACTTATTTGCGGCCTATCTGTTCTTTAAAATAAATGCTTTTTTTTTCCTTTTTGCTTCAAAGAAAGCTGGTCAATGCGCACCAGCCGTCTGCCCTTTTTTTTTAAGATACGCCACAACCATCTATCCCTTTCTTTGCCTTCATCTTGGCATTGATTATCTGCTCTTCTAATACACGCGTTACAAACAGTAGCATCACCATGACAACACCTTCTAACAGCGATGAAACGGCCTTGAACTCTATCCAGGCACGGTT